AGAAAAAAAAAATCGATACCGCTTGTGGGTAGCAATTTGTTCGGCGGATAATCGGGAAAGTATAGAACGTAGGTACAGGGTGATTTAGTTTGTGTCCTGTAAGCGAAGAATTAACCGTGCAGTGTTATTAGGTAGGTGTTTTTTTTTCCCTCGTTCCTAATGTAGCTGGTTTAAACTCTTTTTTAAAAACAAAAAGACCTAGTTGGTGCAGAACGTTTCGAATCTATTACTAGCGGGCAGGCGTACATTGTATCATAAGGTATCTACTGCGTGAAAAAAATTGGGTTATTTGTCTAACTAAAAAATGAAAAAAAAAACATGTTTTAAAAATACAAAAGCATTAGGAATTTCGGAAAAATTGTTTAAATCTAGTACGAAAAATCCGCATCTTTTAAGGTGTGTCGTGACAAGATCAGACCATTTTTACTAAACGTATAAGTGTTTTAAGAGAAAAAAAAATTATAAAACATCTTTGTAAAACTAAAAAAAAAATGCCTAAAAGTAGGGAATCGTTTGTATACGTGTGTAAAAAATAAAAACCTAAAAAAATTATCGATATTTACATCATATGCGCCAAACAAGCAGGACAATTATAAATATGCATAGGTAAGTTTTGAATTTTTAAGATGTAAAACTTATGGGGAAAACGTGCATCGCTTTATATTTACAAGCAGCGCGCTAGAAGATATTTTTGAAATAAAATTATGGTTGCGTTATTCTCTCCTTATAAATCTCGTTCGTGTTTATTCGGTGATACTTAAAAAGCGTTAATCGTCTATTCTTTTTTTAATCTTTGAATATTTGTATTTTTCGATACAGTACTATTATGTCCTCATAATTTTAGAACACTTTTAGTTCGCCACTGACCTACTTTCCACTTACTTTTTTTCGTTCAATATACTGATACGGGCAATGCAACATGGAAATAAAGGTAAAAAGAATGAAAAATTGACACAGGCAACGCCATGCGCAGGACAGCTAAATAAATATGTAAGAAAAACTTTGACTTTGTTATATTGCCTGTTGATTATATTAAAAACCGATCGTTAGCAATATATTTGTTTATTTGTATGTTCTACGGCACAGCAAACCCTCGCACGAATAAGTGCGAATTTGGCATTTTTTTTTTCTTATTTTTGTAGGATTTTAAATGATATTTAGCGATAAGCCAATTTATTGTATTCGGTTTTAAAGAATCGGAACAAAAAGAGGCTAAATTTAGGGTACGAAAGAGAAAAAATGCATTACTATTCATGCGGGGATTTTGTTGCACACGTAAAAATGTATACGGGCTTTATCCGGTTGCATCCCGTTTTGACCGTTTTAACCCTAATCGGGTTTCGATTGCGTCCGGCAATATTAATCCATCTACTAAAACTCATATTGCACTGCTAAAATTGCCTGAGCTTGACTATTAAAATAAAAATCCGAGATGAAAATGGAAAACGAGCCCGAATCCGGGTACCCAAAGATGCCAGATTTACATTTTGCTACCGGGGGTTTCGCCGTCACGCCAAGTTTTTCTTATACATTTATTATTAATTATAACAATTGTTTAAAAAGAAAAAAAAACCATTTTGATTTTTCAATTCGACAGCAGTAGTGCGCAGCGGTATATAACACTACTTTCGTGTTATTATAATAGTATATATATATAAACATACGTAGTAAAACGCTGCGTATCGATCTACTTTTTTTTTTATTAGGCGGGTTTTCGCGTTATTTATAATACCTATGCACCGGGTAAGAGCGGCTATTATTTATTGCGTGTATATTATACGCATCGTCAGGTGTTTTTTGTTGGTTTTTTTTTTTTTTTTTTTTGTAATTTCGTAATTTTGTAAAATGTTCGGGCATTATTCACGATACCGCGCGGATTATTCCGGCGTTGCCGTCTAGCTCGCGTACGCTAATAATAGTAATAACAACACTACGAACGCGCAACCAATTTTTCGAAAATTTCGAAAAATAAGTTTTGAAAATTTACCACAAAGTTCAACATAAGTTGTATTTAATGGTACCTACCTGGCTATCTACAAAAGAAAAAAAAAGGCGAGTGTAATGCAGTTATTTTTTTTTCAAACATTTTAATCTCACGGCATATCAAAACATAAAATTTACTTGAAATTCACTCAAAATCGTACTAATTCAGAGATGATTCCTTACGATTAAATTACACTATGTATGTTACCTTTCCGACTTCCCATCTATAACAATGAAATAACCATCAGTGGTATCAGTTATTTTTTTTCAATTCAACAAATGTTTATTACTTGGCAGTAGAGTTTATGTGCCCATCTGATGGCCATTACACTGGTATTTCTGAACTTCAGTTACCGTGTTTTGGTTTTCGTAGCGTACGTCGTGTTATTTTGTCGATTCGAGGCCAGAATTGAAATATTGTGCCAGGAAATCATGGACAGTCGGTCATGGGATGGTGATTGTCTCTACACTAGCCCCATTAAACACATTTCTTATGGACTTTAAAATGATTTTATTCTTAAAACTCATCAAAAACCTCCTGGAACCACCAACCTGGACTTTGCCCGGTATCCTGCCGACCCATTACGCACTTCTACTTATAATTTGAATTACCACGAATGTGTCAACTTATTATCTTTTGTGTTTTACGTACCTTTTTTGCTTGCATACGAATGTATATATAATTTTGCGAGATTCGTTCAAAAATCGTATTATTTTGCATAGTCCCGGTGGTGTTTTTGAACCAAACGGAACACATTTAAAACATGAGAATTCTCGGTAAGCTTTATTATAATAATATTATGTTATTTATAATCTACACACTTGTTTCGTAACCATCGTCGTCATTATATTTTAATTGCATTCTTCACGCAGATAACGACGACGAAAGCCAAACTGTTGTACAATTTAAACGACATTTTATTATGGGGTTTTAGGGTCTAAAAGTGAAAAATTAAATCATTCTTAGTAATGTTATTTTTGAAATTTACATGTTTCGTTCATTCTTATATCATTAAAGAAAATCGGGGTTTTCTAAGTTCAACAGTTTAAAAATAATATTCTGGTCGAATTTTGTGATGTGATTCGGGTGTACCGGGGTTCACGGAGAATCAATCGAACTGAATACCGAGCTATTGATGATTCTGATGACTCGTCGATAATAAATAGAGCACGGATGTTGTAATAGTCAAAAAGTAATACAATTAATTGCAGTATTCTACTAAAATATAATGAAAATAGCGTTTAAAAAATTAAAAATTGCATTAAAAAATAATGCATGTTTTAAAACTGGAAAACTTTGGCTCAGTTTTCGGCATATTTACAAAACAATGAAAGAACTAGACTGAAGAACAGATTCTCAAATGATCACGTTTCATAAATTATCTCTGTGATAAATATAATCCGATAGTCCCAATAGGACACGACAGAGGCAATTCTAAAAATAATCAAAATATCGTTGCGACTATACATTCATTCAATAATGCCAATAAGTCATTCAAACAGTATACATATATATATATATATATATATATATATATATTGTATACAAAATTACTTGAAAAAATAAAAAAATAGTTAAAATTGTTTTATAAATGACTAAAATCACATCAAATTGCACTTTAAACTTTTAGAATTTAATTCGTAATTACACGCAACGCATTTAAAACTAACTTAAAAATAGATTAGAGCAGTAGAAGAAAAGTTGCAAATGTAACAACATCCGGGCCCTAGTAATAAGTATATTATACCACATGAATCCAGAATGTTTTGAAGATTTATCAGATTATTTGTGTTAGCAACAATAAAATATCGTATTGTCTGTACAACACTATTGTAATATTACTATATTAAGTGCGTTGCTATAATACCTGCATTAAAAAGCAGCTGTCTTGATTGATCTGCCACGTTAAAAGATAAAACAATATTATAGTATTCACGGCCAATTCAAATTATTATATCGTCATCATCATACCTCGTTTTTGATTTATGGGAATCATGTAGAAACAATAGAGTCCAATGTCGTTTTACATTCGTTTTATACCCGAGGTATCCACCTTGGTTTTACCTCTAAATTATAACAATGATATACGTTCCTTTCATAATAAATCTACAAACTGTGTGTAAAACACAAGTTTTCAGTTGCAAAAGCTATATTATTATGTAATGTTTAAAGTTTAAAACAATAAGCGAGATAGGCAAATATTCAACGCCTGTGTATAAAACAGGAGACAAAACGTAAAAACTATTTTACGGATGATGAATTAAACTTTGAATAATATAAATTATATTACACGTGTTAAATTAAGCTAAATTTTTATTTTCATCATCTAATCACTAAAAAAAAAAAAATAAAAATAATAATAACTATTCATTCACTATATAAAATATTTCCAGAATAGCCATTTCGTAAACGATATTAATATAAAAGTTTTAATGTATTCATATCCAACTAATAGTGTTTTTAGTGACGGCCGTTTTAATCCAAATATTTTCAATTTATAACGTAACTAGCTGTCCCTCGCCTGCCCGTGTCAATTTTTATTCTCTTTACCTTTATTCCCGTTTTGCTTTGCCCGTATCAGTATATTGAACGGAAAGTGAGTAGTCCGCCTATCCGTATTCTAGTGTGTTATACTAGAATTTCGTCCTCGTTACCATAAATATCCGTGCACAGCAAAAGGATTAAACTGTATATCCACGATGATAACGCTTAAATTATGAGGACATAATAGTATACTGTCGTGTTATTACTGTACCAAAAATACAAAGATTCAAAGATAACGTTTTACGTGTTTTCACTTTTCACTTAGCCACCTAATGTTGCGCATAGTTTTAGATTCTGAGCGGAGCGGGGGAGCTATTGGTTTTACAATGCTGTTTATTTTATTTTTTTGTTTGTGCTAGTGTGTGGACACGTTTTTTACTAGTAAACTTACTCCGATTTTTACGTGTAGCAACTTTTCTAAAAGCTCAAGTTTTTCTGTCATTTTTGATTTTCGACGCCAGTTTTACAATAAAAGCACTTAAGTGGGAAAAAACGTACAATTTCACGATTTCATTATTTTATAAAAACACGGACGACGTTTTCTATCAGAAAAAATGATTTAACCAAAAAATTACAAGCTACCTTTTTTGTTGCCTTTTTGATTTACTTTCTAACGGTATGATCGTCAAAACTTTTGAGCTTTTAAGGAATTTTAATTTTTGGGAGTTTTTTGCTGTAACTCGGTTATAAATACTCGTAGATACTTGAAATTTGGTAATAATACTTATATTAGACTCATCTAGACGTGGAAAAATATCCAAAATGTCAACGAAAATTGCAAAAAACAAAAAGTACTCTAAATTATGTATTACTGAACTGCGCTCGGAATCGCCTTTCGTCAAGCAATGGTTTATCGTTACTTACAGATATAAATGAAATAATTTTTTGTATCCTACCTTTTCAACTTCTCACTTACAACAGAGACATCTCCAGTATCAGCTCTTTTTTGTTTTTTTTTCATCCATGTTATTAAGGAAGCTCATCCTATTTCAAGCCAATAATAAACCAGCAGACAGTCAGATAGGTTTTTTATTTTAATATTGTTATAGTTTTTATGGCCTATTTATTTCTGTTAATTATTTATTTTTTTGTTTTAAATTTGTTTTCTATTTTATCCGCGTTATTACGGTAATCCATAATTCAACAAAAACAATTTATTTTCGCGACAAAAAATACCTAAAAACCTTTCATCCTTTCTAATTTTTTTTTTTCACGTAAAAATTAGCCTACGTTTTTTTCAGGGTCCCGTCAATCTCTATACCAAAGTTCATTAAAATCCGTTTAATAGTTTTTGTGTGAAAGAACAACAAACATCCATACATCCTCACAAACTTACAATTTTAATAGAATAGGATAAATCAAGTTGTTCCCTTATAGAATCGTTTTACTTTTCTCACCTATTTACTAGAAATTAAACAGACTATTACTAAGAAGATATTGATCAGATATGAATATACAATACATTCAAATTTTTAGAACAATATAAGGATATTTTGAAAATTGTGTTATGTGAATGAATAAAAAATTAGGTGATGAAAATGTCTAAATAGATGTCCCCTTCAGAGAAAAGCAGATTGAATAAAAACAAAAATAGAATACAAAAAGTTCTAGAAAAAGACACCTGTATAACACAACATAAATATTTGTGTAAGAATATTATAATGTTTAATAATAATATTAAAACGCTTGATTTTTATTTAAACTCGTACCTACGTGGTTTTTCATAATAAACGCAAAGGTAGGTACTTACTTTATTGCGCATGTTGTCTGTTACCATCATATTTTATACGTATATTTGTTGCCCTAAACACTATTTCCAGTAGGTATTTTGTCGAAGTGTTCGATGGTACAGAGAAAACTCGGTGGATTTTTGACACTCGAATTTTTATCGTTTGTCCCTATACATATGTATACAGAAATATGATTTTCTGCAATTACCTATTTATAAGATAACTTTTCTCGTTTAGGACGCGTATTAATAAAGTGGAAGGATTTGAAACGATGAACATATCGGAGCACACAATATTATTTATTTTTTTAGAGTTTTTATATTTAATATTATAGGAGTATATTCAGGGTTGTGAAGTCGTTTATAAACGTTATAAACGTTCACAAATTAAATTAATATAACTGATATGTTCTGAAGATTGATTACTTATGTTTATATAATTTCCATTTGTTCTGAAAATATAAATCAAAATAAACAGTTCCTTTTTTTTTTTTGGATGAAGAAGTATCATTTTTTCAATTGTTATTCTTAAATAATTACGATTAAATTGTGTTTATAATTAACTATTATTTTAATATGATAATTTACGAAAAAAAAAAAACGTTTAAAACACGAACAAACATACACATTTGTTTACAATTTAAAACACGTAAAAAAAAACGGTTTCTTTGTGTTTGTTTTTTGCTACCTACCTTGTATATGTTCCTCTTAATTTGAATCGTTAAAACACGTGAAAGTATTATTTACCTATATTACCTACATTTTTACACCACGGATAAAACGGATTTGCAAATAGTTTTTGCTGTTTTAATGAACACGAAACTTTTGGAAGTATATAATTAATAACTTTGACACATGCCTGCGCTATTAATAAAACAAAAATTATTTTTGTTAAATTATATTAATAATACGACTTCATATAATGACGATATCTGTGCGTATAATAATTTAATTTAATTTCTCCAAAACGCATTTGCATTATAATATAATACACACACACACACACACACCCGTAAACAAAATAAATATTTGGATACACGTTATTATGATATCGCCCGGAGACTCTTGCCGTGTTTAAACATTCTGATTTCTCTCGGCGTAACGTTTATTTAGGAAGAATTTTAAATGATGTCGAGTCGTCTGAACAAACCGCCTACGATATAAAACATAGTACGCTTCTATATAAACAACAATTATGATCATACGTATATTGTTATAGCATAGAATATTTAAATAACTGATAGATAAAGTATTTTACGGTTAAGGGTGAATTATATTAAAGTTAATCGAACATTATATAAACAACTACATAAATACAATATTGAACAGCACGTCAAAAACAATAATTAAAAAGAACATTAAAAATAAACACGTCGTTTATATGGATAATATTGTTTTATAATATTATCCATATGGACCGGTCCACACGACGACTAAAGTCACATTCGTGATAGTTGCGAAAACGGTATTATGTTCTGTATAATACGATCGATGTGTCTGTTATAGTTACTTACTATCATCGGCATAGTTGCAACACCGACTGTCACGAAAGTAATAATCGCCGTGTGCACCGTGTTTTATCGCGATTACAAAATATGCAATAACAAAAAAAAAAAAAAAAACACCGAATAGTTAAATATTGTTAATATTTTACGTGAATGAAAGCCGCACGCCAGTGCAAGATTATTATAATTTATATACACATACACGTAGTAAGTAAGTGTGCATGTTAATAATATAAAATAATGTTATACTATGTTTAATAATTAGTGATAGACACTTCCGAATAGTTTTTATTAACGACAGTTGTCGGTAGTGTATAGATGAATTGTCGAATAATTTTGTCCAAACGACCACGAACACTTTTATTTGGAAAAACTATCGTATGTTTTGAAAAACGGTTTAAATAGTTTTTTATATAATCACGAATTGTTAAACTATTTATTCGAATAGTTTTTGATAGATTTATCGAATAGTTCGATAGTAACTTTTCTGTTGTGTCCATCGCTAGTTATAATATTATCAACTTATGTACGTATTTAAAAAAAAAAAAAACAAAACAGTAACTTCATTTGGCAAATGATGCAGCTTATTAGACGCAATTCGGCCTATACTTTTTCTTCGTTATCACCTGGGCCTGCGGTCGATCTTACAAACTGCAAAACAAAATTCACATTTGAACCAAATCTTATTATTATTATTTTTTTAACATAAACGGCATCACTAAAAAAAAAAAAAAAAAAACCGGCTGTTCGTTCTAATTAATAATAATTATTATTGTGTAAAGGTCAACGGGATAAAAAAAAAAAAAAAACATCTTGTCAATTTGCGCGGATAATGTTTTTTCAACGTACAAAAAATTCGTGAAAATCGTGTGGGTACGTGCAGTTATTGTTGTTTAGAAAAAAAAATAAAAATATTATTTCGATTACATTTCATCGCGCGATACTGTATAGGCGGGAAAAAAAAGTGTCAAATAAAGAACTGTATAAGTTAACGTGATAAAATATAAAAATACACGAGCGCATTCTATTTAATATTATGTTATACCATTTCGCTAGTAATACGAAGGTTATGGTAAAAAAAAAAAAAAAATTGATATAAAACTAATCTACCCTAAAGTAAATCAAAATAATTTTTTAACAATACAAACATCAAAAAAAACTACCGTTTAACTATAGGAATATGCATTTAAATAAAATCTAATAGGATTGAGAATATACGTGTGTTTAAACGAGAAAGTTGTACCGGGGAGTGTATCAATACTGTAATAGTGATAAATGATAATAGATATGTATAATATTATGTTGTGTTGATTTCATATTCGGGTAGGTGTACATGCAAACTAATAAAAGCACAATAATACCTAATATTATTTTTTCATGCTATAAAGTGTATTAATAATTAAATACAAAGGATTATTGATAGTATATAAAAATAGTAAGGGAGGTAATACGATATAGTTCTTACTGGTCAACTCTCACCAAGATTCCCTATTAACTAGATCCTTTTTTATGCCATTTAGATCGGAGATACAGTTAACTTATTGGAAATTTGTTTACTGTAGGAGAACTAGTTGTCGGAAGACCAGATGCCCCGTTAATTAGATTTATTATGTTAGACATATAAGTAAATAGTAAAGTAAATAGTAAGTAAATAGTCTTCCGCCATAGATAATATAAAAGCAAAAATCCACGGAAGAAGTGAAAACACGCAATTTAATTTTTATTTTATTCGACGTAGTTTCGCATAAGAAAATGGGAGCTATTTCGAATAAGTTCCGACATGAACTTGCGAAGCGAGGGACGTATGACGTAGTTAATAATATACTAATCTGATAACATATATATGCGGTTTACTTTACAAAGGAACTGATTGTCTATTGAGGATCTAGTTAATAGGAGATTTAGGCGGTATGTCGCCTTCCTATATTCTGAGGAAAAAGAAAAATAAACGTTCTTACGCAAACCACTTTTTTTCAATACTCTTACCACGAAATAGGTATTGTTTGTAAGTCGTAATGTGGATATTTTCAAAATAAGTAAACAGCGATGTCTTAATAACATTGTGAAATGTCAATATTTCTCATTTTTTTCTCATTCATTCGTATTAATTTCATAACTTTTCTTTTTATTCGATCAAAATAATACTTCGACACTGTGCAATAAAGTCATTAGTAGGACTGTGAAATTGAAGGAAAGTGCATTTTTTTGGTGATTGAGAAACGTAGCTTTTTAAGTATATGATTTGAATTATTTAACAACAAATCCATTTATGAAACTCTTATTTTACATTTTTTGACGCTTTTGATATTTTAGGTCATATTTTCCTATTTTAGTTCATTTTCCAGTAATTTTAATAAAATTCCGCCATTTTTGTTTTACACAGGCTATATACACGTCTAATTTATATTTTATACAAGCTGTATACGGGTTAGGTAAAGACAATGATTTGATGATATGAGGC